CAGTCCATCTAGCTCTGTCTTTGAACTAGGAGCAAATATACTTGCCTGCATTAAAATCATAAAGGATCCAAGACATCTGGAAGTTTTAGAAGAAAGCAAAATAGTTAAGGGGGGAAAATCCAGATTAAAAAATGCAGATGTTTAATTGGGCTGTCAGTTATGTTATGAGGAAATAAGGGCAGAAATAACCAGAAGCCAGTGATGGAAAATTAAAATAGTTTCATGAGCCATTGCCAAGTTAAAAGCAATGAAATTGGTAACATAATACAGACAGGGGCTTTCTAAACTGAGATCTGAAAATGTTACCATGTGCAATTTTATAAATTAGCTATTTCCAAAAAAAAAAAAAATCTTTTTCATTGAAGCACAGTGAAAGTTTTCCAGCCCCTCCTCTCTCTTTGGTCATTAACATGGGGCGGTTACTCGGAGCTGGGCTTCCATCAACGACAAGCCCTCGCCCCACCCTCCTGGTCCCCTTTTTAAGACCCTCTAATGCTGCCTGAGTGGCCAGAAATCACAGATGCGAGAGGAGCTGACAATGTCGACGGGCCCCTCCCCCGAGCCGCGGCAGTCAGAGCCCCGGCGGGACAGGCCTGAAAGCAGTTCGCCGGGAGACAAAGACACAAAGATGCCATTTTCTCAGGGAAAATAGATTTCATGTGTAAAACACCAGTGAGAAAAATTGAAAGCTGACACATACGTGCGATTTTAGAGAAGCAAGGCTGAATATTTCAAGACTGAAATTGTATTTGATCGCATCAACCTTAACAAATGTTTAACCTAAAGGTCTTTTCAGTCTGTACAAGACATTCAGTGGCAAGATTTTTTATTTTTTTTAAGTGCATGGTTAAAAGAGAAAAAGAATCTTGAGCTCAGTGGAGAGAGGTTGATCACATACTACGGCTGCATAAAGAATGAGCACTGGCTCACATCACCCAGACTACAAAATAAAGGAAGAAAGTTAAAGAAAAAAGAACAACTATTGAGTCAAAGGGTTCAGGAAGATAATAGTAAATCGTTATGAGAATGTTTCCTATAAAAAGAACCCTTCCCAGCAGCCCTAGGACATCATTACCGAAGAGGCCCAGCACTTTATTAGCGATTCCATCCTTGGGTGTCTGAGGCTTGCCAGGCATTTAGCTTGTGAGCCCAGGGCACGTGGCGTCTGGCTCCTGACATCGAGGGCAGGGTGCGTGGCCTCCACGCCAGGCTGGGCAGCGTGTAGGTGCGAGGCTGGGAAACAAAGAAAGATGACATTTCCATGGAAGGTCATGCTGTCCTTCCCACCCACATTCATTTGTGCCAGGAGAGCCTTTCGGGATGAAAAGGGATATAGGTGAGAAAAGAAGAGGTGACACAATGAATTAGGGAATTACTAAGTAACGTATCTTCAAGGAAATTCATAAATACATTACAAATCGCTATACAGAGAGAGAAGAGAAAGGGAGAGAAAGAAGGAAGTTTTAATTTAAAAGAGTCTTTCATAGCAAGGGAGGGAGTTTCTCCCACCTGCCTTCTTAGAGCTTTAACTTCGATGTGTGTTCGTGGTTCCTGGATCTCACAAGCCGCACAGAGCAGGTTCGGTTCTACGTGGAGAGGCGAGGCCTTATTTATTTATTTACTTATTTCTACTGAAGGGCGGTCAGCACACAATATCCTGTTAGCTCCAGGTGTGCTTCATGGCGATCTGATGTTCTTAGACGTCATGGCGTGACCCCCGTGGTAAGTCTGGTCACCCTCTGTCGCCACCCAGAGCCGTCGCGCATCATTAGCTAATTCCCTCTGCTGTACATTCCATCCCAGGACTTTCTTATTTTGTACCTGGAAGTTCGTACTTCTTAATCACCTTCTCTTATTTCGCATCTTCCCCCCAACTCTCTCCCCATTTCGCAGCAATAACTTGTCCTCTGGATCTAAGTCTGTTTCAGTTTTATTTGGTTTGTTCATTTGTTTGTTATATTCCACATATAAGTGGAATGACATGGTGGTTGTCTTTTTCTGCTGACTTATTTCACTGAGCAGCTGATCCTGAAGGTCCTTCCATGCTGTGGCAGATGGAAGGGTTTCATTCCTTTTTATGGTTGAATAGCACTTCAGTTGTATATTGTACCACTTCTTTTTTATCCATTCGTCTATCAGTGGACACCTCCAGATCTTGGCTATGGTCAATAATACTGCAATGACCATAGGGGTGCATGTATCTCTTCGAATTGTTGTTGACATTTTCCTCAGGTAAGTATCCAGAAGTGGAGTTGCTAGACCATATGGTATTTCTATTTTTAAATTTTTGAGGAGTGTCCATACTGTTTTCCATAGTGGCTGCACCAATTTACAATCCTACCAACAGTGTGAGGGTTCCCTTTTCTCTATATTCTCTTTAACACTTCTTATTTCTTTCTCTTTTTGATAATAGCCCTTCTAAAAGGTGTGAGTTGATATTCGCTGTGGTTTTGATTGGCATTGCCCTGGTAGTTAGTGGAGTAGAGCATCTTTTCATGTGCCTGTTGGTCATCTGTATGTCTTCTTTGGAAAAATGTCTATTCAAATTCTCTGTCCATTTTTTTAATCGGGTTTTTTTTATATGGAGTTGTGTGAGTCCTGTCTTTGTTTTGGATATTAACCCCTTATCACATGTGTGATTCGCACATGTCTTCCCCCACTCAGCAAGCCGCCTTTTCATTTTGTTGATGGTATCCTTCACTGTGTAAAAGCTTTTTAGTGTGATTTCATCCCATTCGTGTATTTTCTCTTTTGTTACCCTTGCCTGTGGAGACTGGCCCACAAAAAAGTATTGCTAAGACAGACGGCAAAGAGATCACTACGTTTCTTCCTTATCAAGTGAAGTCTGTGTACATCCCCCTCCATTCAATGGTGTTCTGTTCTTAATAGATGGGATCAATATTTGAGAATACTTAGAATATACAATGGAAAATGTTAGACCATTAACAAGTTAAGATGTAGTGAATAGTAGGTGTCAGGGGTTATAAACCAAGAAAGTGCACTGGGAATATTTTATTTTAAAAAATTACAATAAATTTTCAAAAAATTGATGGTACGTTTTGTACTCTACCACTCCCCTTCAAGCTTGTACAGTTCTTAAATGTTTTCAGTCAATAGGAATATCAGAGACAGAAAAGAAACCAACAAATTGTTTTATAATCTAACAAAAGATGACTGAAAAAAATGAGAATATTAGGCAAATTCTATGTTTGTTGAAATGTTTGTGCAAAACGGAAACTCTTTATTCCCTCACAGTATTCATGTCAGGATACATTCTAGCCATCCTTTCCAATCTAATCAAAATAATATATAGCATTTTAAACAAAATGCTTAGAATAGTAATTAATATAATTTATACTGAACTTGAGCTACTAAAAATAGTCCAAGTGCTCAATACATTTATCTATTTGCTGTTGAAAAGGAGTATGGTGGAGCACTTGTTTGGGAGTTTGGGAGCATAACTCCTTATACATACTCAGCCTCTCTGTAACTTTAGTGAGTCTTGGAACCCCAGTTTCCCTATCTGTAATATGAGAAATTTTGCCAATTATAGGAAATTGTGTGCGGATTAATCTACAAAGGCAACATTGACTCAAAAATACTAACATGTGTGTGTACCTGGTTAGGGGTGATGTAAAACTTCTGTTGTGTTTTAAAACTTTAAAATTTAATATGAAGAGATATTCAAGGTCACTAATAAAAAGGAAGTCCCTGGTGAATTCAGTAAAATCAGTCAGTCAAAAGCTATGTAATCACCATGTCACAAACTGGTTCATTGGTGTATTTGTGCACTTCTCAGAATGTTTCAACATGCTACAGCATTAAGTCTGATGCTCTATGATTTTAAATTTCTCAAAGTACATCTGACATATTTATTTACACTAACGTTCGTACCCTGTCACTCATTTTCCTGCTAAGAGGATTGTGCATAATAGCAGAGTGAGCCCAAGTAAGTCAGAGCGGCACCCAAAACTCCAGGCAGAACCCGAGTTATTTGAGGCCTCCCCCCTTACTGCCACGCCCACTGTTTCTGGTCTGAAGACTTGGGAAGAGCAAGGGAAGGTGTGCGAGGTGTGCGAGGTGTGCAAGGCTCCCCGGCACCCTCCCTTGCCCTCCCAGCCAGCAAGGAGGCTCACTCCCGTCTTCTCTCTTGCAGAGCCCAGGGCTACAGCCTCACCCCGGGCGCCACGCAACAGGGAGGGAATTTCTGGGAAGAAAACATTGGTATAGGAAAGATACTCAGAAAAACATTGACAGTCTTTAAAATGAAAGTAATAGAATTATATTTCTGAAGAGAGAATCCATTATATCCAACCTAAAGATCAACAAACTTACAAATTCTAAATACTGTCTTACAGTATTTTTTAACAAAATACCAGGATCCTCTATTCAATAGTAAAAAGGAGAAAAAAAATCCACATTTGCTGGTCTTCATTTAACCTAACTGAAATGGAGAAAAATCACATTCTTATTCACATTTGGTATTCTCTCTTTTGAAATTCAGCTTTTGCTGTGCTGGAAGGATGATAGGAAGATAGCATAGTATTATTTAGATGGACTGATTAGTCTCTTTTGAGAAATTAGATGATGAAAACAAAGCAAATATATTTAATATGTTTGGGAATGAAATCTACATTTATTTAACAATTGTAGTAATGTTATTTAAAATTCTTAAATCTTTTACACATGAGGAATACATCCAAAGGAAACAATCCTTACAATTAATCATCAGAGTGGAGGTAACCAAAACCATTTTGTTCTGTCCTTCAAGGGTCTCTGGTTAACTGACATGACTTATTTTATGGGGGGAGAATCCCAGGCAATGTTTTTTGGGGCCAAATTAGTAGCCTTAGAAAAGGAAAACTTTTGGATATGAAGTTGGCAGATCTCCAGGGGCTGTTGCATCGGAAAACACTCCCATAAGAGAATAAAAATCAATCAGCTAATTTTCTTAGTATGGCCTGAGTTTCACATAATTAATCTCTTTTTTTTTTGTACAGGGATCTAAGCAAAATTACCGTCAAGTCCATAAAGGACACTGAAGGAATTTGATCTTAAATGACAGAAGTTCGAAGAAACGTGCGACGTCTCCGGAGAAGATCTTCTCTGTGCCCCAAATCAGGACGTGATTGAGGTGCGTCGTTTCTTCTGCTCAGCTGGGATGCCTGACCTTTCCATTCCAGATATTTCTCCTTCTTTTTCCCCAGTCTCTCTTTCTCTTCCTTTTCTCCCTTTCATTAACAGATGTCTTTTATAATTGATGTTGTTCAGTGTCCTTTCACTGAGTACATGCCACGTCACCGAGGCAACCCATTCCACGTGGTACTTAAATACACGCTGGAAGGGGCTGGGGGCCAGGAGGCGCTTGGACCATCTCATCAGGGCGGTGATAATAAGCATCCTGGAGCCACAGAATGCAGCACTGTATTCAAATAACAGCTTTCATCGTTACTCTTTTAAAATACAAAAGTAAACATTGAAGCCCTTTGAAGAACTTAAGCAAACACCACACATGTGAAAATAGATCAGTAAGCCTTTGAAAAAAATCTTTAGGTACAATCTGTAAAGGATCTTAGCAGGTTTTCAGGAAAGACCTGCAGGTCAATGATGGCTTTTAATAAGACACATGACGATCTCAATACTGAGAATCATCACCGCGTGCCCTCTGTGCCATATTATGATCCCAGCAGGACTTTTCTTTTCTCAGTCAGGAGTGTCCAGGGTTGTCTACTTTTCTCTGTGTGTAAAGCATATTTAAGTGGTTCCCCAAAGCTGCGCTAATTAAAAAAAAAAAAAAAAACAGAATAAAAAAGAACCACACAACTTTGTCAAGTGGTCAGACTGGAACTAGAGGATTATAGGTAAGAGGGACAAAATGAAGGGTTGAAAGCTCTGATTTCTATTTCTGTGATGGCAGCTGAATCAGCTCTTGGAAGTGAGACAGTTTAAAGATACGGCTGCTTTAACACAGTGTCGGGGAACGAGGCACTTCGATGTGACAGTAAGTCAGGCACCGAGAGGTGGGGACTCCTTGCTGGGTCTCCTTCCCTGCCACCCCTGCCTCCCCCCTCCCCATGCCCTCGCCCCACACTGCCCATTTGAGTCCATCCCTGTCTTGGCAAGTCCATACATTACTTTTCTTACTCCTATTTTCTTGCCTTTTTACTTTTTTTTCTTTTAACACACGTTGTTTGGCATCTATCTGTTTTTCCAGGACGGGTGTCCTAGAAAACAGAGAATATGTTTTAACAGGAGACACTGCATCTCAAAGGGCTTCCTCATTGGAACAGACACTAGTTCATTCTTGAACTTGCTCTGGCTGTAGATTTTTCAGGAAAAGCCTCCCCCGGGGAATGGTTGGAAAGGGCATGCACGCACATGTGGGTGTCAGGCAGTCAAACTTGTAGATGGAGTATTTTGAAGAATGAATTATAATAGTAACAGGATCACCAATAAAATGATGAGAAATATGGGTGCCAGTCTAGCTTACATAACATCGACTATGATTCTGGGGGCTTATATTCTCTCACTGGAATTAACAGAACCATAGAGCTCACAGCAAGTATAGGAATTTTGTAATACAGCTCTCCTATTGAAGTGAAGAAAATGAAGCCGGAAAATAAACTGTTCTAAATTATTCTGCTTGCATATAAGTACCCTTGGTCTAATGTTAATTTTGCACTATTTAGACGAAAAAAAAAAAGTATTTTACCAGGAACTAGTTGAAATGTTTGATGGTGTGATCATTTAACTATACATGCAGTGAAATATAATTATCATTCAGTGGGCAAAAATATTGAAATTGCCTGATATTATTCATACAGCAAAGCTTACTTTGTTAATGCATCATCCTCTGACCTCTGTATATGTATATGGCTTACATATGTATAATGTAAACCAGCTCAAATCATCTACTTAAATTAATACTATTTTTGTATGCAAGTACAACTCCCATTTGGCTTTTCTGTATTCCAGTTATGTTACTCACAGTTCCTGTAGTTTTAACCAGAGCAGAAGGGATTGCCCAGAAAGAAAGTGAGTTATTTCCTAAGTTGTGTTGGAGATTCAGAAGTTCTTTTCCCATTACTAACATTGTGCTTTAAAAAAAAAAATTAAGAAGAAACATTCCTATTTCTTATTTATAAGAATGGACAGAAGTGGGGGTGGGGAGGAGACCCCCTGGAGTTAAACAGTTAGATCCTGTTAACAAAGGTGATTGGTGGTAGTCTATAAAAATACAGTTTGCTTTTGAAAACATAATAGACTTAATGTTAAAAAGAAAGATATTTTACACACACACAAAAGTTTATAGAACAAAGCTTTAAAATTTTTAATTGTACTGCTAAACTGTTTGATAGAATTGATAGGATATCTGTTCAAAAAAGAAATATTTACTCAGATTGATGTTTGAAACGTCACATGGAAATGTGTGGTGCTGTTACTAGAAAAGAGGGTTTCTGTAAAGTAAATAAGTAGGGTGTATGCTGACCTGATACCCTGTGTCAAGATTCAAATGCAAGTCTTAGATACAGCTAAGAAGTCACAACGTGGCTAACTTTTTAGGTCTAAATATATTTTGATGCAAGTATTCAAAAGACAGTCATCTCTTCAGTTTAGAAGGAACATTTAATGAAATAGTAATAGTTCAGTGGCTTTCAGTTTCCATAATTAAATGAATATGTCTTATTCAGGACATATATTTCAGCCCCAAAACATGAGGACACATCTAAGTGAAATAACATTTTAAAAGAGAACTAAATGATCTGTGGCGGTCTTCAGGTATAGTCTGGATTTGCGTCTCAAGGACTCCTAATTCAGTTTAAAAGCATCCAGTTCTGAATTTCTCTATGACTGTCATACTTTAAATAATGGAAAAACTAATGGAAAAATGCCATGCCCTTAGCCAAAAGTGCAGGAGACCTCAATACAATTGAGCGTGAATAGGGTTATCTTTTCTGGGACTTTTGTAGACTAATCTGTAAAAATTAGGCTTGATATTTCTTGCTTTAATCCCATTTGAAGAGATACATGGCTCATATCAACATGTGCAGGTGTGTAGTTCGAGTATTCTCAGTAAGCCATCAATGGTCAAATATTGCACAGATACTTAGGCTTGTTGAACGGCCTCTCCTGGGATCTTCAGGAACAGGGAAACGCTGCTGGGTATCACCTGCGCACATCGTACAGGTAATGCCAAAGCCTGTCACTCAATGAAACCTGCATCAGAACGCACGGAAGTGCAGTGTTGCTGGTCTGCTACTTCTATCGCCAGATGAACTGCATGTGTGTAGCAACACTTCCCATTGTTTATGTTGCACAATTATACCACATTTTGAATGGCATCTTTAGCCAGGGAAGCCTAGAGACATCCTTCAGCTAGCAAAGAGAAAAGTTGTCATACATGCTTGTGAAAACATTTTTAGAGTTACTGCGGGAGTTGCTGAAAGGAACATTGAAAGATATTTATTGATCAAAAATAGGTTTTGTTTAGAGACAAGGCTGTGGTTTAGTATTTTATCAAGTTGATAGGGTTTCAATCATACAGGAAATTTAGAAAGAGAAGAAATGTAAATAAACATCTTGTCAGGAGCAGTAGTCACATAGCTGGTCAAGAGGCTGCTTGTTGTTTTCAGGATGAAGTGTTATTCCAAGCAAAATCAGCCGAGGTGATTAACAAGGCTGGACATTCACACAAGGCAATGAGCCACACAGCTCAAGATGCCAGTGCGAAAATGTCAGCTCAGAGAAGGGGAGTCAGCGCTGGTCTTTAATGATTAGCTATCTCTTCTGAGCATTAGTGTGGAAGTGGACATTTTCAGTATAAGAAAAGGAAGTTTCATTCATATTTGAGGGCTGTTCACCTGGAAGGCTTTGGTTTCTTACGTGGACATCGTGGAAATGATAAAACTATGACCAACTTTTATTGACTGAATGGGAATTTATTTTTCTCTAGGCCAGGGTTTCTCAACAGTAAATTTTGGTCCAGATAATTCTTGCTATAGGATATTTCCTGTGCTTTGTAGGGTTTTAAATCAGCATTGTTGGTCTCTACTCACTGGTTGTCAGGAGCGTCCTTGCTAACCACATTGGTATCACCAGACATGGCCTTCGGTTGAGAACCACGTGTCCAGACCTTTTCATTTCTTCTCTTCTCTCTTTGCAACTATGTTGGTTCTTTGCATTAACTTCACTATTAAAGTTACATTTTGCATAGAGAACTTTCATTTTACTAAGTGAAGAAGAGATCTATAATGCAAATATTTCTGCAGAACACACAAAAAAAGAGGAACCTCAATAGTACCTTCACCTGAAATAATCAATTTTGTATTAAAAATTCAAGAATTTTAAGGAATCATGAATGTGAGCTAATACTTTGTGGCATATTGAAAACTTACAATGTAAACTAGGTAAATTAATGTGAAATATGTTTGCCATTGATTGGACATGAAAAAGTTTTCTTGTATATCATAGTTAAATACAGCAATATGCTTCCAGTGAACATATTTTTTGCAGCAGAGGAAACAAGACCCCACTAGATGGGCTTCCTGGCGCTTTCCATAAATATTGGCTCTATCCATGTACTAAAGCATAGGTTTCCTGGCACAGAAATACACAAAATAGTGAAAATAAAAGAAAAAATCTGTGAGAGCCTGGGGAATCACTGTTAAGATGGGCTGGTGAGCATGTGTGTAAACTCTGAACTATAAACTTTTTTGTAAACTGACAACAATGAGATAGTAGAGACACAGTTGGCTTGACTCGTCTTTGGGATTTTTTGTTTTGTTTATGTGTGTTTTGTCAAAATACATGGATAAGGAAAGAAAATATGGAAGTCTAGGAGGTAAGTCATCCTCAGAGAAATATCCAAGAAGGAAGGCATTTTGTTTCAGGTCATAGGAAAAAAATGGGTATTGAGCCATTGTTCTTTTAAAAACTGTAACAGATGCAGTAAGTCTTAGCTTGATTTGCCTTTAACAAAAACTACATCAATGATTCAGATGTATTAAACGATGAAGGCGTATTTCCTTTCTGTGCACATCTATAAACCTCCGATGAGTGTATGCGGCCTCCCCTGGGAGCACCGGGCACCGAGCTGACCTGCCCGCCCCCCATCTCCGAGGTGGTTCACTTTTC